TCAAATACAAAATGCTTTTTGGAATTCAAAGGCCCTCATAAGCTGCCCTCCCCACCCCAACACACACACACACACACACACACACACACACACACACACACACATACACATACACACACACCACTACCTTTCCAGTGTTCTTATACCTTACTCCCTGCAATATACTCTTCTATCCAGTGACACTGGCCTCCTGGCTGTTCCATAAACAAGATACTCCATCTCTTAGCTCCAGGCTTTTTCTCTGGCTACCTCCCCCCACCTGGAACAGTCTCACCTACTGATTTCCTTGGCTTTCTATAAGTCTCAACAAAAATACCACATTTTACTAGAAGCTCTTCCCAACTCCTCTAAATTCTGGTGCCTTCCTTCTGTTATTATTTTCTATTTATGTTATATGTATAGCTTGCTTTGTATATATTTGTTTGCATGTTTTCTCCCTCATTAGACTGTAGACTCCTTGAGGGCAGGGACTATCTTTTGCCTCTTTCTTGTATCCCAGGGCTTAGCACAGTGCCTAGCACAAAGTAGGCCCTTAACGAAGGTTTATTGATTGGTTTGTTCTCAGAGGCTATAGTAGTAGATCACAAGCTGTGGAAGATCCTACAAAGCTTCAAGTATGAGTACTACAGCTGAAAGAACTCTGTGTTCTGATAGCATGTAAACTGTATGTCTACTATGAGAAGACCAGCCCAGTTAAATTTGGAAAAGCTCATCACCAGGCTAGGCACAAGGTGTGTCCAAAGTAATAATTCTTGGGGATCACAGAGCAATAATAGTGTTTTCAAGCTGTGTTGGAGGAGTTTCCACACCAATGAAACTATAAGTCCTTGAAATGTTGAAGAAAGCAAAAAAAAGATGCCGATACGTGCATTTTTACATTTCCAAGATTAGAAAAGCAACAGTAAAATCAGTAAGATAGTGAATTCAATTGCACTGAAAAATGGCATTTTGGATTATTTATTTTAGATGTAAACACTGAAAACACATTTATTTCTTTTCATCATAAAAAAAATCAGGTCATGAATTAAATGATGAACCAATACTGGTAACACCAAATCAACAGAGACAAGATACTGCTTCCATTGCAATGGGACCATTTCTTCTCTGACTTCCAGCAATATTCCCTCAGTTGATAGAGCTCAAAATAATGCCCAAAGAATGTATGTTATTATTGCCAATGATCCACAGATCGGGCTGGTAAAATTGGCCAATGATAGCCTCTGGGCATAGAAAAAGAACGAATGCCTTTGTTGATTGTGTGCCCAATCATCTTCCATCAATACTGATTATCCTGTAGTTTCACTGACTTGTTTCAATTTATTGTGAAGTGTAAAATGGTAGTATTATAGTAGCTCTATTACTCTGTGAAAGTAAAAGGGATCTCCTAGTGAAAAATCCATATCTGGTCTTTTGAAATCAACCTAAGTAAAATAAATCAGGATGCTTTGTTGGTGGTAGAGGTATTTTTTCTTCATTTTTAAGAAGAAATAATTCACTATTTCTCTCATAAATCAGTCTTCTGAACTTTTTCAATGCATAGCTATAGAATTTTTTTTTAATTCAAGTTTCTTTAAATGATTAAAGACACTATTTTCTCCCAATGCAAAGAGGCTATAGGTTATGTTAATACAAAGATGACATAAAGAACTTTCTTAAAAAGAGGTCATCAACTAGTCAACAAACATTTATTTATCAATAAACTTACTATGTGCCAGGCACTGTGCTACTCACCAGGAATACAAATACAAACAGAAAGAAAAACAGTTCCTTCCCTCAAGGAACTTACATTCTAATGGTATGTAGTAAATGCTTAATAAATGCTTGTTGACTGGCAGACTGACTCCCATGGATTCAATTATCATCTCTACACAGATGGCTCTTATCATCTACATACCAGACTTATCTGTAGCTCCTGCATCACCAACTTCCTCCTGGATATCTTTACCTGGGTGTCCCATGTATATCTCAAACTCAGCCTGTCCAAAATTAAACTCCTTATTTTCCCTCTATACCTGTCCCTCCTATCTCCCAGATTTCTTTTTAGAGCTCTCCCATTCTTCCATTTACTCAGGTTCACAACTCTGGAGTAACCATCAATCCTTCACTTTCATCACATAGATCCCACCAAGTATCTCTCCTCCTCTCTCTACTCCCATGGCTGCCTCCCTGGGTCAAGCTTCCCTAGAATAGTACAGTAGCCATAAAAGTAAAGGGGTGCTTGTGCTGGGTCCCCAACCCTAAGATTATGTCTCTTGCAGACTCCTAATTTCTCAGTAGGTCCCTGCCCTGTGAAAAAAAAATTTCCCTTGTTGCAAAACCTACGCAGGCCTTTTTTCTGTAATTCCTTTATCTAAATAAGGCACAGGGATACTTAACCAAGGACTCTCTTTTTGGTGCCAGATTCCCCAAGGTCCATGCCTCTGGCAGCAAAACAAAAACTGTTCTTTTCTCCCTCAACATCTGGTATCAACAAAGTTGTCTCTGCTGACTCCCTGAATTTTCCCATCCATAGATCACTGACACCTGCTCCCAAAGACACCTGGACCCCTTGCATTACCTAATTAGCATCCTTAATATATCCTTCCCTGCCCCTTTTCTATATAAGCTTTAGATTCACCCCCATTAAGTTGCAAGTTCCCCAAAGGAACTTTGCCCACTACTATTGGTATTACAAAAACCTTGCTACTTGACTGAAAGCAGGCTTGAGTGTGTGAATTCATTTCAGGCAACTCCTTGTACAAGGTGTACAACTCCACCTCATACCCTGTCATTTTCTGGATTCCTAGCACCCCAAACAACATCAAAAATGCCAAAATAATCTTTCTAAAGCAAAAGTCTAAAGATGGCATTCTCCAGATTGAGTTCAGTAGCTCCCTACCATCTCCAGAATAAAATGTGAACTTTTTTGCTTGATATTTAAAGTCCTTCCATAGCTGTACCCAGCCTACCTTGGCAGACTTCTTTCATAATACTTCCTATCATCCCTTCTGCCTTCCATCCAAGCTGGTCTTCTGGCTGCTCCCTGGGCCTGAGTTGATGTCTCCTCTGTTTTTGATTTTGCACTAACCCAAAAAGCTCTCCTCCTCACTCTCTTCCTCCTCCTCCTCCTCTCCCTTCCCCTATCCACCTCCCTCATTTCTGTCTCTTGGAATTCCCACTTTTTTCAAGGCCACTTTCTTCAAGCCTTTCCTGATTTCTCCTTATGTTAATGTTTCCCTCTCCCTCAAATTATATTGTCTTTCCTTTATTTATACTTAGATTTCCTTGTCTGTGTACACATATGCTAGCATTTTACTCCTTAGCTCTAAATATAACAGAAGCTCCTTGAGGGCAGGGGCTATTTCAGTTTTGTCTTTGTGTCCCATCACTTCACAATGTTCCTTGCAGATACTAAGCACTTAATAGATGACAGCTGAATTGAAAATTAATTGCTCTTTCACTGTCGCCCGCTGAGTTGAGTGGGAGGCAGAGGCTCTCGGGTGTTTTCAAAATTCAGCTTCACCCGTGAACCACTGCCATGGCTGAGGAAGGCATTGCTGCTGGAGATGTAATGGACATTAACACCTCTCTACAAGAAGGGCAGAAGGGCAGAAGACTGCACTCATCCACGATGGCCTAGCTCATGGAATTTGTGAAGCTGCCAAAGCCCTGGACAAATGCCAAGCCCATCTTTGTGTTCTTGCTTCCCACTGTGATGAACCTATGTATGTAAAGTTGGCTGAGGCCCTGTGTGCTGAGCACCAAATCAGTTTGAGCAAGGTTGATGACAACAAGCAGCCGGGCCAATGGGCAGGCCTCTGTAAAGATGACAGAGAGGGAAAGCCCCAGACAGTGGCTGGGTGCAGTTGTGTTGTTGTTAAGGATAATAGCGAGGAATCTCAGGCCAAACATGTCATCAAAGAATACTTTAAATGCAAGAGATGAATAAAATAAAAGCTTTGGTCTGATAAAAAAAAATTAATTGAGGACAAGTACATAAATTAACTGTTCCAAAAAACTAACAACTTTTAACTCTGAAAGGCACACCACAAAAGCCCTGAGTCCCATTTGTTTGCCTACTCAGACTGCCCAAGTGGGGGGTAAAAGAATGGCTTCTGAAGGGTTTCAGCAGCACTGATGTCATAGCCCTCCAGCTTTTACCAATGAATCCAGCCAACTGTGTTATGTTCCTCTTTGCTTTCATGCTTCCTGGCCATGTGGCCAGCCTCTTCTCTTTGTTTAACCGATGGAAAATAAGACTTGTGCTTCCTCACAGACTCAGGAGGATGACAAAATGCGACAACGGATGGAGAACACTTTGCATAAACTTCAGCTGTACAAAGGTCAGCTGTTGTTCCCAGGGCCTTTACCTTTTAGCCCAATTCTGTCCCCTTTGGTTCAGCACAAATGGCTGTGTTAACACAAGGTTAGCTATTCTGCAGGTCCTGGGTGAGAGTCCCCAGTTTGGGTCTGTGTCCTATCTAACTTCCACCTCTCTGGGCCTCAGCTTCTTCATCTCTGAATTCAAGGGTTTAGACTTGATGACTTCTAAAACCACTTCCAGCTCTAAATGCTACAATCTCACAATCCTTAACTCTGGCTGGTATTCCCTTCCTGGGATGCTGTTGTCAAGTTCTTACAAAGTGGCTCTTTCTTCTAAGCCAAAACAAACCCAAACCACCCATTCCAATACTTGTCAATATAAGAAAAATATAATTCACTAGGTAACAAACCTAAAAAGAAAAGCACCAATACATAATTCCAAGATCAAAAGGAGAGTGAAGGCAAAAATAGGATTATAACCCAGTACCTCTTCCAAAGCCAATGGATCTTCTCTTAATGACTGGACCTAAAAGACCTAGTAGTCACTGCCATTGTGCCTAGGCAGTCAGGGCTGGAGTAAATGGGTCTGTGAAATCTGTTTGTGGAAAGGTTTTTTTTTTCCCCAAAGATATGGATACTGATTTTTGTGAAATGAAATTTAAGTAACAGAACTAAGGCCATTATAAATTTTTACATACCTATGTTTTCCTTTAATAAGGCATCATCTGAGCAGACTATTTCAAAAGAATATTTGAAGAATCCTTTCCTGTAAAAAGAATTTGACATATTTCTCTCAAATAATCAAGCATATTAAGCAATAATCAAGCAATTAAGATTCATGTATATTTAATTATAATTGTGAATTATGAAAACTGCCCATTTTCCCCTGGAGGTGCCTTTTCTGAATTGTTTTATTAGGAATATCTTGAAAATATAACTGGTTTATGAAAAGGCCCTGTTCTTATTTGTTTGTACTTATCAGGGCAAAACTCTCTCTGTCTTGGTAGAGTAGATAATGACAATGTTTTCCCTTTTGGCCCAGCACAAACAAGAAATGGCTTATGACTGAGGGTTTCAGCTCTAACCCTACTGGCTCTCCTTCAGGCCAGTCTGTAGCTTGTAAAGATTTCTGGAGGCTTCCTCAACAAGCTTTTGAGCAGCTCTGCTCTACATACTAGATGTTTCCCTAAAACATTCTTATGGCTCCTGGGAGCCTGAGGCACAATATATGAGGGAATTTGCTGCTGCTGCTGCTATTATTATGGGGCTGTTGCTGCTATTACTGCTGCTGCTGCTACTCTGCTACCACTGCTGCTGCTACTAATGCTGCTGCTGCTTGCTGCTCCTGAAAAAACAGGAAAAAATAAGCCCCTGCTGGGACTGCTACTACAAGTAGAATGTGACCAGCACCTGAACACACAGACACAACCCAATCCCTCAGTCCTCTCTTCTAAGTTTGGTACCTACAGAGCTGCCTTGGCAGAAGCAGGGGAGCTCATTAATTCATCAAGGCCTGTTTCAAGGTTGCGTTCCCAGTTTGTAGAATGCAACCTGCTCTGAGCCATCTGATTTGCATTTTCTCACACTTGACATTCATATTTTAAAGGCCTGCTGTAATATATGTATATAAACAGAGTTGCACACACTTTCTGTACATTTCTAAGACTGTTATTCATCTGTTTGTCATTATTTCACTTATTTGCTCTTTACAAAATATTATTAAAAAGTTCATAGCAAATAGAAGGAAAACTATAACAGATAGTTTGTGCATGTATTTTTCAAATTCATTACAATACCTTTATATTTTTAATACATACCTTTTATTTTTTCTAAAACTGCACTTTTTGTTTTTATTATCATTTTTGGAGGTTTTCATCTGTGAGACAAAATCAACAAATTTTAGGTTAATTTCTTTAAAATGGTTAATGATTCTAATTTATTTAAAACACTAAAACTAAGCCTTGTCCTCTGATTAGGCCAACAGAGTATCTTAGTACAGGAAAAAAAATTAGATTCATTTAGATAATTTTTTAGATTCATAAAATACCAGATTTTGAAAGATTACATGGATCATCCTGACTCGAGTTCTGCCTAAACAATAATCCCTTTACCTCACACCCTTCAAGGAGATTTTCTAGTTTTTGCTTGAAGAGCCACAATAAGAGGAAACTCACTACCTACCAAGACAGCCCATTCCACCATTAGATAGCTCTGTTAGGAAGTTTTTACTTAGAAAATCCTAAACCATTTCCAACTTCTACCCATCGGTTCTGGTTCAGTTCCATGGGGAAAAGTAGAACAAATTGAATTCCTCTTCAGCTGACAGTGCTTCAAATACTGCAACTCTACTTCATTCATGCAGCACAGGACCTTCACTGATTCCAGTACACTATGATGGGCAGTCCTTTGTCAATATCTCCCAAGTCATATAATTGGTTCTAAAGTTCTTCAGAGAGGCATTGAGAGTGTCCTCGGTTTTTGTTTGTTTGTTTGTTTTTGTTTTGTTTTGTTTTTTGGTGAGGCAATTGGAATTAAGTGACTTGCCCAGGGTCACACAGCTAGTGAGTGTTATGTGTCTGAGACCGGATTTAAACTCAGGTTCCCCTGGCTCCAAGGCTAGAGCTCTATCCACTGTACCACCTTGCTGCCCCCCTGAGAGTGTCTTTGTATCGCTTCTTCTGACCACCACCTGAGTGCCTGCTTTGTGTGATTCTCCATAAAATAGTATTTTAGGTAAGTATACGTTTGGCATTCACACAACATGGCCAGCCCATTGGAGTAGAGTTTGAATGAGTGACAGTTTAGCTCAAGAAAGGACCTCAGTGTCCAGTGCCTTATCTTGCCAGGTGATCTTCAGAATCTTCCTAAGACAACTGAAAAGGAAGCAATTCCATTTCCTGGCATGGCCCTGGTAGACTGGCTAGGTTATAGAGGCATACAGCACAATGGCTCTGTACACCTTCAGTCTGGTAGTTAGTCTGATACCTCTTCTCTCCCACACTTTCCTCTGGAGCCTCCCAAACACTGACCTACCTCTGGCAATGCCTGTGTCAACCTCATTACCTATGTAGACATCCCTGGAAAGTATACTGCCCAGTTAGGTAAATTTATCCACAGCATTCAAAATTTCTCCATTTGCTTATAATCAATGGTTCCACGTATTAATAGTGTGGTACTGGCTGGTGGAGAACCTGTGTTTTCTTGGTGTTAATTGTTAGGCCAAAATTAGCACAAGCAGCAGAGAATCAATCCATACTTTGTTAAATCTCAGCTTCAGAGGTTGCATTGAGTGCACAATCATCTGCAAACAAAAAAATCATGCACCAACTCTCTCTCCACTTTAGTCTTGGCTTGTAGCTTTTTCAAGTTAAATGGTTTACCATCAGTGCAGTAGCTGGCCTTGATGCCATTTTCATCCTTGTTGAAGGCATCTGACAACATTGCTGAAAACATTATGCTAAAAAGCCTGGGAGCAAGCACACAGCCTTGCTTTACTCCATTGGTGAGTAGGAAAGTACAAAACTCGAGCATTGTCCATTATCCAGAATGCAGAAAAGCATGCTATCATGAAATTGATGTACAATACTAATAAACTTCATTAGGCAACCAAATTTTGACATAATTTTCCACAAACCCTCACAACTGACAGTGTCAAAGGTAGATCAATGAATGCTGTGTATAGACCTCTGTTATGTTCCTGGCATTTCTCCTGCAGTTGCCAGGCAGCAAATACCATATTGACCATTCCTTAGACCTTTCTCAAGCCACACTGGCTCTCAGATAAACAGGCAAGAATCTTGCCAGCAATGACTGAGAGACATTCTATTGTGATTGTCACAGGACATTCTATTTCCTTTGTGGACAATGGAGGCATACTTGAACTCCTGGGAACAACCTCCTCTTTCTATATAACCCAGAAAATTTCAATCAGTTTTTGTATGAGCAGTGGACCCCCTGCCTTGTAAATCTCAGCTGGAATAGAATCAGTACCAGGGGCTTTGCCATATGAGAGGAGTCTAAGGGCATTTAAAACATTTGCTTCAATTGGAAATTTGGCTAAAGAAGGGTTGACTTCTACCTGAGGCATATAGTCAATGGCTTCAGCATTGATTGATGATGGTCTGTTAAGAACACTATGGAAATATTCAGCCCATCTTTCCAGGATCATGTCCTTACCACTAATTAATGTGGCTCCATCACCACTGAGTAGCTGAGAGGCACCATAGGTCTTTGGCCCATAAAGAGCCTTCAGAGCATCCTAAAAGTGCTTTGGATTGTTACTATTAGAATAAAACTGAATTTTATCTGCCTTCTGACTTAGCCAAAAATCCTGCATCTCTCTAAGCTTCACTTGCACTTTACTTTTGATGTAGTTAAATGCTGCCTTCTTAGAAACTGATGAACTATCTTGCTGGTAAACCCTGTAGAATTCTCATTTTTCATTTAGCAGCTTCTGAACTTCCCCATCACTTTTGTCAAACCGATCTTGATATTTCTGAGTGTTCTGTCTCAGATGAGTAAATGCAATACTTACACCAAACCTCTGAAAGCTGCCCACTCCTTTTATGCTCCACTGTTGCCAACTGTGGACTCAGCTTTCCCTCCAAGCTAGCAAGGACTGTTCCCAGTCAGAGAAGCACTCTGATCTGTTGAAATTGTCTTTTGATAGTCATCTTTCCTTGGAGCTGCCATTGCTGAATGTGAATATTTAACTTGAAGAGGATAAGTCCATGGTCAGTCCAGCACTCTGCACCACATATTGCCTTTGTCATTCTCACATCCTGTCTATCTCTTCTCTTTACAATGATATAATCTATTAAATGCCAATGTTCACCTTAAGGATGCATCTGTGAAGTTTTATTGTTTAAGTAAACTGAAGACAGTGATAGCAATGAGATCATGAGATACACAAGTCTTCAATAGTAAGTGACCACTGCTGTTGCTATCTCCAGCTCCATTCCTCCCAATGACTTCCTCCCATGTCCGGTAGTCTATGCCTAATCTTGCATTAAAGTCACCCAGAATTATAAGCTTGTCCTCTTTTGGCACATAGATGATGAGAATTTCCAAGTCTTCATAAAATTTTTCTTTGACCTCATCAGGATTCATTATGGTGGGAGCATATACACTGATGATGGTGGCATGGCATTTTCCTCTGTGGCAATCACATTGTTATGAGTCTGTCATTTACTGCTTTTGGGAGGCATATAAGCCTACTGTCTAGATTAGTTTTGATTACAAAACCGCAGTGCTCCCTTTCACTGTGCCCACTCTAGAAAAACGTGAATCCAGCTCCAATATCACTAAGCCGGCCTTTATTTGCCAGCTTTGTTTCACTCAGGGTTGTATTTGAATGCAATACCTGCTGAGTTCTCTCACAACAAGAGCTATTTGTCTTTCAGGCCTACTGGATTTTGTGTTGTCTATAAGTGTGTGCACATTCCACGTACTGATGGTGAATGGAATCATCTTTGCAAAAGTTTTTGCGCATTTTCTTTTTTGTTTTGACTGCTGGGTGGGATCCCCACCTGCTGTAATAAGCAGTCCAGGGTTGGGTGAAGCAGACAATTTTCTAGCCTTTACTAGCCCCTTCCTCACACAAAGAGGTGAACAGTACAGTCCTTAACAGCCTGCTCAGACACCCAGGGGGCTGCCAGATCCCACATGGCTTATCTGGTCAGATAACTTGAGTTCCTCAAGAGCACATAAAGCCTCTCTTATCTCCTTGGGCATCAGCTCCCAAAGAGTTATTTCTTTTCTGTTCTTTCCCACCCAAAGATCCCTCTCCTCTGCAGAGAAAACAAACACAATCATTGTGAAGCAGTGATACTTTTCTCTCCACAGTCAGTCATCATCAGACATCCACTTGAAGAAGCAGTCCTCTCCCAGCTGTGCTGGGTCCTCCCTCTTCCTCTACTATGAACAACTCTTTGTGTTCATCTGAATGTTCATCACCAACCTTCAGCTTGTTTTGAGCTTTAACACTCCTAGAAGTTCTTTTAGAGACATGTTAGAATTTTTTAATCATTCTGTTTTTGTCCTCACTTCCAGCTTCTATACGTAGCTTTAAAAAAAAAAAACCTTACTTGTTTAATGAGTTCCTTGGCATATGTATTAGTCTCTTTAGACAACCCCCCCCTTCTCTTTCATTATTGATCACAACCTTGGACTGAACTTCTAACCCTGGAAAGCTCTCTAAAAGGTACACTTAATCAGTCAAATGGGTCATATTGCCTTCCTCTGAATATAAACCTTCTACTTTCCTGCCTCAAACCTTATGTTTATGATACTTATTGCTTCTAGAATGTCTTTCCTACTCCCCAGTTCTCACCCTGTAAAAATATCACTCATCTATCAAGACAGCTAAAAATCTTGCCTCCTGGGGCAGCTAGGTGGTGCAGTGGATGGAGCACCACCCCTGGAGTCAGGAGGATCTAAGTTCAAATCCAGCCTCAGACACAAAACACTCACTAGCTGTGTGACTCTGGACAAGTCACTTAACCTGAATTGCCTTACCAAAAAAAAAAAATCTTGCCTCCATAAAGTCTTTCCTGATTACCCCAATAATAACTTAGTCCAACATATTAAGTACATACTGTGTGCAAGGTATTTATTGTTTGTACCATTCACATAGCATTATTACAGGCATATTACACATTGTCAGGTTACAGCTCATTGACCTCTAGGAGTTCTACTTGGTTTCTACTGCATCATCATCATACCTCCTCCCTACTTCTGTACCTCTCCTGCCTCCTAACCCATGAACCAGGATAAGCTTATCGCCATGAAACTCATCATCACACCGACTGCTTCAGGTTCAGCACTAACACCTCGTCGGAGCCCTCAGTTACCTCTGTCACTCTGACTGGAGAATGG